ATACCGACTACTTTTAGAACAAATCATTAAATTCACAGTAAAAAATCTTTAGAGAACAAAACTTTTAATTTACGGAACATGTTAGTTAATTTCCCTCATGGTGGTCATGGTTAATTAACATATTTGCAATTTGCATATGCGCACTGCCGTATACATATATCAAATCTATCAGATGATGTATATTTTGTACAGTAGTAGCATGCTTAGTAACTTCTAGAAAATGTCTGAATTACATATAAATTTGTAAATCGTGTTACCCCTGTTGCTACCTGAATACATTCAAATCGGATTAAAATGTACTTAACCCCAATAATCAGGTTAACATATTAACACTCAACAATTTGGTTCAGGATCCTTATTTCGCATATAAACAATAAACATAGTTTTATCATATGATGGTATTTTTGTATGGTAATGTTTATGCCTATTGTAAACGCTGTGTAATAATATAATTGTACAAACCCGACTGCGTATTCTGTATTAATGCCAGTAAATCTGTAATTACTACAACCAATGAAAATTAGCATGACAGAGAGAGGTGCTGTGAGTGCCGCTGCAATTACGATATTTCTAGCTGTTGTCTTTAACTTTGGTTTGTATTTTCGCATGAGTGTGCCTCCAACAAAAATCGCCAGTCCACTCGGTATAACAAATGCAAAAGCTGAGAAAACATAAAAGTAACGAACGTTGGTTTGTCAATCACGCTTTTCTGTTGGAATGTGAGAAAATTATATACTAGTATCTTTGATGCAGTTACGGCGGTTACATTATCACCGCTCATCGCAAACGATTGTGGGATACTAGTATATTATGTCATTTCCGTCTGCGCAATGCAATATGTGATACTAGTACTTACGTCATTTATGCGCAGTGTATGTTTACGATTATGTCACGTGGTCACCACTTATACCACGTATGTTTGTACAAAACATGACGTCATTCAACACAGAATTCTCGATTAGTTTATTGTTGTTTGCCGAGGTTTGTACTAGAATCTACTACCTTACTATACCTATATTACTATACCTTCTATATCTACAATATCATTAGTTCTAAATGTTGTCATACTTACGGACAATGATTCCTGCTATTGACATGGTAACTCTGAATTGGTCACTGATGTATTTAACACAAAAAGGTGCGAATGCTGCCATTAGGGCCATATCGGATGTACGTACGAACATAAGTGCCAGGTAAGTTTTGTTGCAGATGAGACGCTTCAGTGCCTGCGGTAGATCTGAAATATAACAGAAGTTCGGATTCGCACTTTTAGTAATACTACAAACACAATTTCGTTAAATTGATAGTAAACAATTCTATGAATGTGCCAAAATACACTCTAGAAAGATTGCTGTAAAAATTAGCTGAGGCGATAGTAGTATCTATCTGTGGTGTGTGCACGGTGATATGTGTTGAGGCTACCATTAAAAACGAAAAGGGTAAGACAACAACACATTTCTAAATAAATGATTTTATTACGGAATTGTTTTGTTTTTGTTTCTCTTGCGTCCTACAAAGATAGTTAAAATGCGTATTTTCCTTCTGAATTGTATTGCATATGTCTGATATTGCCACAAACGAATGAATTAACTAGCAACTGTGTCCACGGAAGTGGAAATTATCATGTCATTGTTTAATTGCGAATTAAGAACATAGTAAGGAATCATATTATCCTCATACATTAATTTCCCTTTTTTCTATGATTTGATATTATTATACCTCGTAACCCTAACAACCAATCAGATTCGCGCATTTTGCGGTTAGTATATTTGCACATTATCCATGGGTTATAGTAACAATGTTATGCCCCAGAATATGAATATTAAATATTGATACGAAATATGTATCTTTCGAAAATTTGAATTAACTGTTTTATGCTGGGAAAACGTGATATATACTTAGACAGTTTGTTAAAGGGAAAAGTCTCTTTGCTGAAAAAAAAGAGTAACCAGTACTATAACATTATAAATCTGTTCCCTCGGCCTAGCTTGACTGTCCGGCAACTGATATATTTCAAAAGTAGGTGTATTATGTTCACATCAAAGTTTCCACAAAGATATACTCTTCACAATCTAACTTAATTTTAACCATGGCTTGTTTATTTACGTTGCTGCTCAGTATATCTTCAATAGAAAAATGCGAGTTCCAGGTACAATTATATTTTGCTCCTGACGCATCAAAAACGCTCCGTTGCAGTTTGATTTTGTTACCCTGATTTTGATCATTTTAATGTTTCCGTCGCTACAAACAACGGAGGGAAATGCTGACTTGAAGTTGGGTATATTAAGCGATATTGAACAATTCATTCCTATATACACTCGCAATATATTGTGGTATGACCACCTTTGACGGGTGGTTATTGCTTGAATATCTGTACATCGTAATAATGGAAACCAACTTAAAACAATAACATACCTTTCATTTTTTGCTTCCGAACAGGTGCAGCATTCTTAGATTCGTCTACTCCTTGCTTATATGTATCTTCGCCTCCAATCTTAGCATGGAACCTTTTTGGGAGTAGCATAAATGGTATCCCAATCATAATACACAATGTACCGTTGATAATAAAAGGTAGCCACCATGCACCGACCCAGCGTGGATCATACGGAGTAATACCAACCATTGATGTATCAACACGGTAGAAATCTACGTAAAGGTTACTATATGCGGCTGATAACGGAAAGCCGATGAGCGGACCAATCGCATACATAGCAAACATCATACCTAAATCGAACAATATAGTAAAAATTACAGCTATTTATATGCCCATCTTTGTATTGTGCTCAATGGTGGTGGATTGCATCCGTGAAATCAAAATCGTGTACGATTGAGTGCAGTCGTTCAAAAATAGTGTTTTTATATCGAAATAATATCAATATTGTTAAATGCTTGCTTACACTTATAACATCAGAAAACGACGTTTCGTCACTAGGGTGTGAAAGGCGTATTCATGATGAAACTACACCTGTCGTGTTATCGTGACCATTAGAAGATTAAGTAATGCCCAAATTAGGATACATGAGTATGTATATTAAGATATATGTCACTGACAGTGAACACTACTCCCTGGTACACAAATATATTTTGGAAAAAATATATTGTACAGAAATTGTAATTTTGAGTTCGATTTCCGAAAATCACAATGATAGGGCTTTACTTAACATTGATATCCTATGATAGAACGTTATTGCCAAATACTGTCATGTGTTCGGTTGTATGATTTTAATGGATTGATTACACGTCCCAATATCTTGAATATAATGTTTTATTGAAAATAATGTGATAACAGCGAAACTAGTTATGGGGAGATATGAGTAAAATTCAAAAACTACATCTCTGTCGGAATATTTCAATTTCAGCGACAAGGTTTAATTTTAAAATGAGCTGTGTCTTCGCGATTAGCAATCAGTGATAAAAAGGTCCAACAACTGACAAAATGTCTAATACTACTCAGTACTTTCTATAAAAATAGCATGTATATACCTAAATAGAACGGAGCTCTATTTTTGACAACGTTATCGTCAATATACGTGACTCCGAGAATGAAGATTGGAGATATACCGATGCCGAACATCGTTAGACCTGCGAATATCAGTAGCAACACTTTAAACTGCTCCCCGCTAATGGCCCCCTCGTTGCATCCATCACCGGTGTCGTTAACGGAATATTCTACGTCATTTCCGGCACTGCAGAGAATCGAAGTCGAGTTGTCACTGTGAATGGTGCCGTATTGATATGGTTCAGACATAAACTGTAGGCAGCTGACTATGTATAATCCTATCCCAGCAAGTACCATGCCGCCTCCTATCCAACGTGGCGTGTGGCTGTTTCGTCTACCACCAATGTAACCAACTAGAAGCAATGCCACAAGTTGGGCAACATCGGTGAGAGTGAATGCAAGACCAACTACCTTAGACGGTAAACTATAGCGTTTCTCCCAATTACTAACAGAGGTTGTCATACTTGCAAAATTTAAAGTCACGCACAGTGTTGCTACCACAAGACCGGCGAGCGCAATATGAAACTTCGCAAACACTTGTATACACTGAGGGCGCCATGTACTTATTCCGCATCTATAATCATTCTCGTCGGTCTTAGACGTTTTAAAGGTGACATTCACGGTCGGGTGATTAAGCAGAGATCCCTCCGTTTCTGTCCGTACATCATGGTTATTGTTCTTTTTCCCATTGTTATCCATATTTATATCTCGGGGGACGACAGGAATCACCTGAAATACCAACATGCACGCTTTTAAACACTTACACACAAAGCATTGTTCATCAATGGACGATTGTTTTTCTTAAATCCCACGTAACACTGTAGACATATATGTGTTTTGCATTGCAGACAAACAATTGTAAATCCACCTAAATATCACAATGCTCGCCATTTTCTTATGCTAAGTAGTAATTGTCAAATGACGCCATAGAACCAGTGTCCCATTGCAACTAAAGACTCCACTGTAGCCAAACACGGTTTATAACATATTCTATAGTTTAGATTATTGAGAAATCTAAGGCAATGTAATGAATTTCACGTCACGTTAAATCACCTGCATACATTTGTATTGAGAATAACGTTGACTCGTTGTTTACCAAATCTGTGCCACCATGACTCGTCCATTCAAGGTTATACATACACTTGGTCCTAACTATCCACAAATATATTATTGTTTAGACCAGTTAAGAAAGATGGCGATGCTATCTAGATTTATGTTTTTTTTAGAATCGAGTGCGCAGTATCTCACCTGTGTGCTTTTTAAGGTACTGTTCTGATGCGTCGACGTCCTTGGTGACGATGAAAGAATGGCTGTGTATTTACATTTTGTCACGTGGTCGTTATATTCATGGTTCTTTGCTTACAAGGTTAAACAAGTCAAGAATGTATTGTAAAGTACTCGAAACTTTTATAACTAACTAGTGCGTAGTAAATCATATCAAACATGGTTGTATTTTATAGTAAAATATTCATTTAGTTTTAGCTCTGTGTTTATGGTTATGCTTCAGTATGGATTGTACTGGAGATGTATGAACAGACAAATCACTCGTTCCCATAACAACTGCATCCGATGAAGACAATATTTATAAAATTGCATACCATAGCTCCAACTCTTTATTCGAATTTACTTTGTGTTTGTTGACAAAGGAACGGAGTGATATGCATCAAGACGGAATGTCACGTCATTGCCAAGAGCGTTTACGCTCGCCGATCGTTTCATCAACGGGAGATTTATAAGCTACTTAACAATGGAAATGTGTACGCAACGGGTTCGATAGCCTTACAGTTGAGACAATGCTTGCGGGGACATAAAACTGGCATTCGTGGTTCGGAAAATTAGCATATTCAGATTATCAGCGTGCTAATATCTATTAAACTGAAGGGTGTCCTTGCAATCGGCAAGGCGACATATAAGATACGAAGTGGAGGTGTCCTAGTCTAGTGATGTTCTATGTTTAGATTCAACAATAAAGATTCTGTAATCAGTTTAGAACAAATCTTCGATCTCCAACCGGCACATTAAATGTCAACGAATGCTTAGAAATAGTCTATGGAATGCACAACAAATGATTGACGGTATGGTGTATCGCAGTAAATATTTAAAATGTAAATCATACAACGAAACAAAATCAATATGACAGACAACATGGTATTCTAACGTTTTCCCTATCACGCCACCTCAATCATACGCAGCTTGCTTGCGTGATTGGATCACCAGGGTCGTGGCCTCAATTTGACTTTCAGCAAATCTAGATCTGGTATTGCATTTGCAGGTGCGTTGAATCTGAAATGTTCATACTTAGTGGTAGAATAATATCATATAAACAATGAATTCGTTGTGTACAAGAACGTAAAGTACCACAAGCAGATCCATGTTTTGAAAGATACCTCGATATCCACTTGACCGTGACTGAATGTCGAGGTGAACGGGACAATCTGGAACAAACAGAGAACAATAACAGCACATGCTAATCTGTGCCGTACTATTGGTGTCCATCGCGTTTGAATTATAAAAATTTCTGGTATGTCTTTGCCTCGAGGACTCCAATTACATGAAGCGTGCTAAGCAAACGGGTCAGTTATTCAGTGTTATTTTGTGTTACTGCGCAAGTGCGTGCGATGCGTTGCCCCCGAAACGAAAGTTGAATGCGAAGCTACTAACAAGATTATATCTGATTTGCCAGCCAACGCTAACACGTAACAGTCGGATCAATCAGAAAGCAGCTTGCTTGTTGACGTGTTTTTTGACGTATATGCGTTGTATATATGCCTCGACTCAACTGTGAATGCTTTTGGGTATTACATTTGAATATAATGATATTTCGGTGTAGTTTAGTGGTAGTTATCTGACACAAATGTGTGCTGATAGTTTAACTGATTTCAGTAAATACGCCACGCCCACCAACAATTCGTTTACTGCTTCATACATCATCCTGCGTTATACAAGAAATCTAACGTAAACATAGGACAAACACAGGTCATTTACTAGAGCAATTTTATAATCTCAAATTTGTCGTAGAACAGCGCCGCTGTATTTGAAATTTTTACGCAATTTGTGTGTTTTGTACAAAGTATTTGTTGAAAGAGAAAGGTGTTGAAACAATCCTATATTTAAGCAGTATGCCGCTACGGGGTGCAGCTCGTTTCAGTGTTAAAATGCGAACTGGCCGGGACGCCGTGTAGTTTAAAGCTCCACACTGGGTGGCGCCGGGTATGTTTGTAACAATTATTACTTCTTCAGGCTGAAGCTGCGGGCGGTTAGATTAGCATGACAAGGCGTGCGTCTGCTTAGAATGCGAGGCGCGGTGTACGGTGACATGCTACGCAGATTTCCCGATGTTGCAGGTTCTATGCGCGTGAGTCGAACGTGTCATGTAACTCATTAGATAACGCACAGATCGCTTGGAAAGTTTCGAATGCGTAAACAGGACGCACAACATGATTTTCCAAACTCCCCTCATTTGCATAGAGTTTTAAAAATCGTATTAAAAAATAAATCGCATATCATATCAGTTGCATACTTTTTATCTTTTTAAATATTATTTTGTTTTACCATTATTAGTAATTTCCTTTTTCAATATTTTAATTTCTGTTCACATAAATAGTATTTTGTATTTATTTCTGGTAATAAAAGTTATCAAATTTGTGATATATTTCATATATCTAAAACTGTTATCACAGTTGAAATTGACTAAACTCCAGGGGTTACAATACACAAGAATTTAATAAATCAATCGCGCATGATATCCACAAATGTGAACGAGAGGAAATGTTGAGGCAACGTGAGTATCGCCATGCGAATTACATTCGTATACAGATTAAGGTCAGGTTAACATTCACAGCTGTAAAACATTGATCAGGTTGGTGCCTTCGGGGGTATTGTCCTGTAATTCATTGCTCTGTAATAACAACAACGCTAACTACGCATACTTTTCAACCTTTTCACCACCAGTTCCCTGTTTTCATCACAAATTCATAAAATATTCCCGTTTATAATCTGCACTATCCTTCAGAAAATTGGGACAAAAATAGCCAAATTTTTTGAATAAAAACTAAAAATAACGCAAATTTCGGGTCTTTAAAATAACAGAAATTTCCTGACATATTGAAGAATATAAGAAAAAAGGATGTAGAATAATTTGGGCGAGCAAGTCTTGTGGTTATATAAAGGTTAAACGTATACGTGATTAACTGTTTGAACACCAAAATCATTTTTTGTCACGAAACCCAAATTAAAACACACATAGTTTTTTGGGGGTGGGTCAAAAAATGATCATAACTTGTATCCATCTGTCAGTGGTGCTTACAGAATATTGCTAATGCATGCATATCCACGAGAACATTATATATGCAATGCAATGGACACATTGGTATTAAAATGAACATATCAGGTACATGAGATTATACCTTTTACCAACATTTTACATTATACCAATATTTACTGATTGTCACTGATTATGGTTCAAGAGAAACAGAAACTTCGATTAAATAGGGTGTTATGCGTATTTTTTTATTGAAATATAGGGCCACAATTCCCATGGTATAGTTCGATGAACTTTATTATTAAATGTATACATTCAAATATTGTGTTATTATTCACATAGAAAACGTAAGTACAATATCATTTAATTTGTAATTATCGTACCTCTGTTTACGAAATGATTATCGGAAACTTAAATACGAATAATTGCTAACCCGTGTGAAAAGCAATAAACTCACATTGAATGACGCAGTATGTTAATTTTCATTTGTGTGAAGTAAAATTAATATTAACTCTGTTAAAATCCGAATGAACGAGTAAAAATAGCAAAGTAAATATCCAAGTGAAATAAAATATATGAAATTCAATTATTATTATTACAAATTCAAATCTACAATATAATATGATGTAAAAGAAATGCACATTCTAATTAACATACGGTTGAAGTGTGTATATGTTCTCAAACTTACAATACAAAATACTGCGACAAAACGCTTCTGTGACGTCAAAATGACGTACATGGTAAAACAATATCATTCAAATAAACAGTTTTAATTTTCCTGTTGTGTAGGCCTTTTATAATATAGTAAATCTCTAAAGAGAAACGGTAGTTTTATCGAAAAACGTCCACCTATCAAAACAATAACGACACTGTGAACACTGCCCTACGTCATACCTATGTCATACAGGCGATTTGTCGTAAGAGGGCGCTATTTATTTACCTAAGAGGTGTATTTGGGTGTTAAACGTCACACGTGTTGTTATGAGCGATTATAAGTAGACAACTTCCGCATTGTCAGTGTTCAAGTTCAGATTCACATCCCTAATTTCAAGGAGCGTACCTTTCTCTTCTTTTCGTTTTAGCGACTGCCAACATATGGTGTACATAAGAAGAGCTAATATCTTGAGAACTATTTGAAAGGTGAATAGCTTATAACGATAATCAAAGAGATCGTATTGCCAACAAGTGCTGAATTCGCTGCACTGACTTTGGCTCCATAACAAGCAGGTCGAGTCGATGATAATGCCCATATAAATAGGCGTTGGTACCCATCCTGTAGGAAAAGTAAAAGATGATAAACTGATCACTAAAATACATTTTACCTGACCGTGAAACTGGCAGACTTATTTGAATAAACAACGTTTCATGGTCTGCAATATGACTACACCTAACCGGATATTGAAAATGGGTTGAGACATCTCATTCTAGGTCTACCAGCAGTAACTTGTCCTTGCCAACTTATTTACGCCATTTGCTGTTGTCCTTCCATACATGTCGCATTCATGTGTACTGATTATTCACACTAATCCCAATTAGTTATTTATTATGTTTCAAAATAATGTCATTTATATATATATGACATTTCATATTACGAAGATGAAGAAAAAAAAATATGAGGTTGTATGTCAGTTTACCGTTGTTTTCTATGACAAAGATATATCTCAATATCTCAAAATTTTCCTTCGTGACATGAAATGATATACCGTGTTTAAAAATGTACTTGTTCATGGTAGATGTAATTAAAACATTAAATTATTTCAATGTTTTTTTTTTCTTTGTGGTCTATTGTCACTTCATGCATATATATTATTTGACATTTTCTCTCAAAAACAGATTGACAGTGAATTAAAAAGACAACATATTGTTGACTAATACTAAAACGATTAATTATAGTTTTTGCTACGACATATTATCAATGTTATTTACGCTAAAATATGCACGCATGTCGAAAACGTACGAGTAGCATTCTGTCTTAAGTAGAAGCTTGAGAACTATATAACTGCGTATCGACTTACCGAGTACTTGAGCAAACAGTTGACGAATCCCAAGGGCAAACGGTTTATCAGCGGGAGCAACACAACTGAAACATACATTATACATAATTATCGTGACACAATGTCATGTGATATGTATCACATATAACAAATATAAAGACTATTTCTAGATATGTTTGCAGTCATGCATTTTTGCTACTTTTAATTCATGTTATTAATTTCTTTCTGTATTCCGCTTTACATTTTAAAACAAAACCAACAAAGAACTATGCAATACAAATTGTGTGGTTATCAAACGAACAAGTCAGTTCCTGCGTTGGATTCGGAACGCACATTATTGAAAATGGAAATACCTAAACACAGTTTTTTTTAAGATTATTAATACCAATATGAAGATATGATACTAGTATGC